AGTGTTTTAGATCTGCAGAAAAGTTGCAGAGATAGTGTAGAGAATTCGTTCATCCTCCTCCCAGTTTCCCCCATGGTACCGTCTCATATTACCATGTTTCATTTGTCACAGCTCGGAAACCACCGTTGGTACCTTCTGTTAACTGAGCTCCGGACTTACTCGGATTTCACTCGTTTTTCATGGAACGTCCTGCTTCTGTTCCAGGGTGCTGTCCAGGACACCTCCTCAGTCTTCTCTGGTCTGTGACAGTTTCTGTCTCTCCTTGTTTTCCATGACCTTGACGGTTTTCAGAAGCCCTGGACGAGCATTTTGTAGACTGTGCTGAAATGAGGTGTACCTCATGTGTCTCTCAGAGCCTATTGTTTGCTAAGAAAAAAACTAGCCCCGGTGAAGAAATGAAGAAATTTCCAGTAAAACAATGGGAAAAAATTACCCTTTTCCTCCCTGCCCTCTCAAAGGGATGGAACCATTTTTGGCCAGATAGCAAAGGAGCTTTCGCTTTTCCCAGCAAAATCAGAATGTTTCTGTTTCCATTTGGCTTTTCTTGGAAACAAAAGAGGAAACCATGGGCAGGGCCTCCGGCCAGGAGTAGAAGCTCTGGGCTCTCTCCTGCATCCCCGCCCCACCAGCTGGGGAGACTGCAGGTTGCCATCCTCTCTCCAGAGCCCTGGGAACAGGGCGCTGCCTCACTGAGCATCCGCATCAAACCCGCTCTGCCCCTGTGATGGTGGGCTGGAGGGGGGGCAGCCATCAAGGCGATTGTGTGATTAGCGTGCCTGCCATATGGCTGTTAATTAACCTGGAAGGAAGCCATCGACCCCTTGGTCTCCCAGACCCTTATATTCTCATTTTTTGGAGTCCCTGAGTAATTGACTTGGTGCCGTCTTTTAAGGGTTAAAGCTCTCTCTGTTTCTTGCCGCTGGCCCCTCCCATTTAGTTTCTCCTCCGATTAAAGTAGCTGAAGCTGGGCACAGTGGCTCACACCTGTAGTCCCAGTGCTTTGGGACACGGAGGCAGGAGGATTGCTTGAGGCCAGGGATTTAAGACCAGCCTGAGCAACATAGTGAGACCCCTGGCTCTACAATTAAAAACATGTTTAAAATATGAGCCAGGATTGGGGGCATGCACCTCTAATCCCAGCTACTCAGGAAGCTGAAGTGGGAGGATGGCTTGGGCCCAGGAGTCCAAGGTTGCAGTGAGCTGTGATTGCACCACTGCACTCCAGCCTGGGCAACAGAGCAAGACCCTCTCTAAAAAAATAAAGCAGCTGGGGTGAAAGCTGGATGAGGGCCGGGGAGCCCCTCTATGCCACACCAGAAAGTGAGCTATCCTAGAAAATACTTCAGCGTTCCTTAGATAGCGCTGCCTGACAACCATAAAAGCCATTATTGGGTGGCACTGGTAATACGTGTTTTGTGACCGTGTGACCCCAAGCCATTGTGACTCAGCCAACTGGAGCAATTTCTCCAACAGTATTACAGAAAATGGGGCAGCTAATGGTTCACAATGCATCCCCTCTGGCCGGTTAGCTCAGTCATTCGATCAAGAAAGGCAGCAGGGTTCACTCCTGATTTTTGTGAGCCAAGTGCTCCCAGTCCTGCCCCTGGCCCTCCCTCTTCTCTTGAACCTTTCCCCGCTCTTATTGTGAGTCGTTAAGCATACGAGACACAGATCTATGAACGCTTTTTCCGTTTTTCCAGAGTCAGCTGCTTTTCCCTCCTGGTTGTAGTGAAGTGTTGCAGGTTTAACAACCAAGCAGCGTGATGTAAGGTTTAAAGTGGGGTCCAAATTCGGGGGACTCCCGACTCTAGACACGGCCTGGCCCTTGGCCAAGGTAAGACCCGAGATGCTTCCTTTTGTCTCCTGGTCCCAGTTTTCCAGACCAGAATCTTTTTACCACCCGTGCGCACGGACCGGATCAACGACTGGACTGAGCATATTGGCTCAGGGTCCTTGACGTTGGGGCTCTCTCTAAGATGGAAGGGGCCTTACCCCTGGAGGTTCCACTGGGGTACCCTGTCATCACCCGATGGAACATTCCCAGAGAGACCCGGCTCCTGCCCTGAGAGGCTGCTGTACAGTGTACTTTACCTCATCTTACAGCTCAGTTCCTTGGCAGGCCTGGGATTGTCTTCACTCTTTTCTGCGACTCACTTAGGAGTTTTCCAGCAGATAAGGGGTAGGGTCCTAACTTCACTCATCAGGGAAGATAAGATGATTTGGAGATAATTGCTCGGTAAGCACAAGCCTACAGCAAAAAGGACAGTCATGAGCACTGTCTCTCTATGACCCCATGCCAGCAAGAGCATAACAAGACAGGGAGAGAGGGAGGACCAGCGTGGGAAACAGGTTGTGGCTAAACATGGACCAAAACTGAGCTCCGGCCTACAGTTTTCAGGTTAACGCTTTCATGTCCAGGAGGAGGCCAGCAGCCTCAGGCTTCCATTCCCAGGGGTCTGACTAGGCCTCCATGGGTTAGGGTGGAAGGAGGAAAAGTATCACGTTTGTACTTTCAATGCTCAGGGACCCCAGGGAACCTAGGCCAGGGCTTGCCACTCACAGAGTCAAGACACACCCAGTGTGTACTTGTCCAGTCCCTTGCGTACGTGGATCGGAGCCACATGACTCTTCTACTCAGAATGCTCCCAGCAGGGCCTGCCTCCCCTCCTAAGCTAACTGCGGTGCTCCTGGTGGCCTGGGAACCCACAGTCTGAATGCAAGAACCCTGCCGGGTCCAGGACAGCGGAGACTCACGCTTCTCCCCAGCCAAGTAGTGATCTGTTGCCTGTGGATTAGGCCAGGAGACCCTCCCTCACATGCCTGCCTTTTATTAAGAAGGAAAACCAGGCCGGGCGCGGTGGCTCAAGCCTGTAATCCCAGCACTTTGGGAGGCCGAGGCAGGTGGATCACGACGTCGAGAGATCGAGACCATCCTGGAAACCCCATCTCGATCCTGAAACCCTATCTCTACTAAAAATACAAAAAATTAGCTGGGCATGGTGGCGCGTGCCTGTAATCCCAGCTACTCAGGAGGCTGAGGCAGGAGAATTGCCTGAGCCCAGGAGGCGGAGGTTGCGGTGGGCCGAGATGGCGCCATTGCACTCCAGCCTGGGTAACAAGAGCGAAACTCCGTCTCAAAAAAAAAAGAAGGAAAACCAGACCAGAGCTGTGTTTGAACTCAGAGCTCTCCAGTTCATTTTAACTCTAAAATTCGTGTGCCTTTGTGAGTTTTTCTCCTCTGCCTAGTCCAGCCATGGGGCCTGTGGCGTCGTGCAGTCCTTACCAGTGTTAGAAGCTGCCTGCCCTGAGGTGGGGCTGAGAGGCTGAGAAGAGGGTGGGAGTGCCGGGCTGGTGGGGCTTCGTGCTGGTAAAGTGAGGTGGTTCTCCCAGAGCCCATTTCGTACCTCCCTCTTCAGAGGCAGAGACACTTCTGATATTAACTCCTTTATTTATTTATTTATTTATTTATTTATTTATTTATTTGAGACAGGGTCTTACTCTGTCGCCCAGGCTGGAGTACAGTGGCGTGATCTCAGCTCACTACAACCTCTGCCTCCCGGGTTCAAGCGATTTTCCTGCCTCAGCCTCCCGAGTAGCTGGGATTATAGGCACGGGCCACCACACCCGGCTAATTTTTGTATTTTTAGTAGAGACAGGGTTTCACCATGTTGGTCAGGCTGGTCTCGAACTCCTGACCTTGTGATCCACCCACTTTGGCCCCCCAAAGTGCTGGGATTACAGGCATGAGCCACCGCGCCTGGCCAGCATCTTCTTTATTCTTTAGCCATACATCCCTAACAGGAAGGGGAGAGCCACATCTTACAATCCCTGCTTTGCAGATGGGAACACTGAAGCAATAGAATGTGAAGGCAAACTCTGCATTCCCTCATGGCGGAAACACACCTCCCTGGTAGGAGCAAATCCACCTACGCTCCAGGAGGGGAAGGGAGGTTGTGAGTGCTGCAGGCTGAGATCTGGGGTAGCCCTTCCCAGTGTTGTCACGTCCGCTGTCCACCCAACACGCTCACGCTCACTGCCGTATTGTGAGGGAAAGGAGAGGAGAAAGGAAGGAAAGGAAGAGAGGCCTGTCCACACCATGGACTATAACCAGCTCCTGGAGCCTAGAACCAAGGTTCCTGACAAGCAGGCTCTGACATAAGGGTGCCTCTGCTGAGGAGGGTGGACCAGCAAACCTGGGCCCACCCACTCCTGTGTCTAGCCGGCTACAACACTGGAGGCCTGTGAGTCACTCCCCCGGCAAGCCCTGGTACGGGCAACGACGAGGGAGCTCAGCTGGCACTGGGGCGACTTGGCAGGAGGCCTCCTGCACAGCATCTAGTTCAGCGGTGCCAGCATGCGGAGGCCTGACATGTCATTTACTGCGCAGCGGGTCTCCAGGGACATTGCAGCTGCCCGTTCTGGTGCATGTGGGTGAATATCACCCAGGTCAACAGTTAGAATGCGACACCCGCGGCCACGTGCCACCTCCCTGAGCATAATCTCCTCCTCCACCTGAACGTCACCGCTCACCCGATGATGACAGTGCTTTTCCTTTGTCATTTATAGGTACATGGAAGCATCTGCCTCTGTGTGCATCCCTAAACAGCACAGGGATTTTTAGCTACATGGAATCGTATATTGCATGTGTTCCTGTGGCTCTGGTTTCTTTGGTTTAGCATTGTGAGATGCACTCATGATGTGGCATGTAGCCAGAATTACTCGTTTTCACTGCTGTGTAGTGTTCTGTTGGCGATAAAGTACCCCTTTGGCCAATGGGCGCAGGTGGGTCACTGTTTATTCCTCACTTGCTGGTATTTTTAGTACCTGAATTAATCAAGCACGCCCCACAATGGCATTTACAACTACCAATGCCATTGGTACGTGAGGGACAGAGACCAAGGGTGGTCACATGGTCCTTTGCCAGTCTCACCCTTCAGCGTGCGGGGACCGCGTTGTCCCTGGCAGCCAGAATTAATGCTGACGTCTTGTGTGTCTTGCAGCTTGCCGGGATTGCCGTCCTTGCCATCGGACTATGGCTCCGATTCGACTCTCAGACCAAGAGCATCTTTGAGCAAGAAACCAATAATAATAATTCCAGCTTCTACACAGGTGAGGGGCGGGGAAGGCTCAGTGAATTCAGACTCTGCCTCTAACAAAGTTCCTCCAACTTTTGGAGACCCCATGTTGACCCAGGGACTTGGGCTTGGGAAAGACTTCCGTCTGGCCACGCTGGCCAGTCGTGTCCCTTTCAAGTTGTGCAGTTTGTGTGTGTGTCATCGTGCCTATGAATTTGCATTTAACTGATGTGGTTTCTTTTCCTGATGGCCAAGTCGGGCGTGTTGACAGTTTTCTGATGTGATGTTGGCTCTGCCAAAGTTGCACCCATTCTTGAGGGTTTACGAACCTCTGTTCTCATCTCTGATACTCTCTTTTAATACGTCTTCTTAACCTGCATCGTTTTCTTAATTCAAAAAGCTTTGTCCTGGGGATCTGCAGTGCTAGAAGAAGATATATAGATGACTGTCCTCGCCACTGTTCAGATAGGGACTCTGAGACTCAGGAAAACATCAGCCTCCTGGAAAACACAGCAGCAGCGGGAGAGACTAGAAGGGACTCTGCCCAGCCCTTTGGACCCTTGGTACTGGGGTAAATGCCGTGACGTTTAGTTTTATTTGTTTTTGAAGCGTCTTTTGCTTTGGGGAAAAGGCTTCCAGTTTAAGCCTGCCTGGGATCCTCTGAACATGAACGGACTTGGCAGGTTTCTTTCTACACTCAGGCTTCTTGGCAGCCTGGCTAGCACCATTCTGTCCGTCTCATTGCCGTATCACCACGTCAAAGCTCCCTGCAGAGGAGGGGGGAGCCCGGTGCCTGCCAAGTGCAGTCGCCCGCGTCTGTGTGAATTCAGACTCTGTGGCTGTACCCTGCCTGGCTTGGAGGTAGGAAAGTTTTCGTTTGTGATGAACAAAGGAAACCTCCTATTTTTAGGACGATGCTGACATGTCGTCAGGCTCAAAGTGTAAGTTTGGCCACTTCCTTCCCACCCACCAAAAAAGTTATTTTTACAAAGGAGGGAGAAAACAGTTATCTCTTAGTCCCTCAGGGAGAAGCAAGGCTGGCCAGCCGTGCGGACCTTCCCTTCCCTTCCCTTCCCTTCCCTTCCCCACCTCTTGAACCGGGCAGGGAGAGTCTTGAGAAACAGCTCATTTGATTGCATAACATTTGAGCCCTGTGGATAGTTTTGCTGGTTTATCGCCTTTTGTTGTTACCTGGAGTGTTTTGGGGTGTGTCTGTCTATTGTCAGAAAGAAAGTGAGAGAAAGCACAATGTATGTTTAAAAAAAAACTACACACACACACAGAGAGTTTTTAGGGAACAGGTTTCTATAGCGCCCTGACTTGTTTTAGCAACAGAGCATTTTTTCGAGTCTGTGGCAGACTTGGAATGCTGTCCTGCAGAGCAGGAGGGAGGAGGCGGTGCAGGGCCTGGGGAAGACCCTGCACGCTCCACGCCACATGCCAGAAGGGAGCCCTGCGTGGGGGCAGCAGGTCTGCCGCAGGGCCAGGCACAGGCAGGCCCGCTTTCCCAAGCAAAAGCCGCCCATGGCCGCCACATGTGCCTCTGAAGAGAGACTCAGTCCTCCCTTGTCCCAGCTGCTTCCAACAACCCGCTTTTTCTTTTCTGTTACCCAAAGCCTCTATGGCTGATTCTACATATTTTTAGATGTGGGAGGGAAAAATCTCACGGATAAGAGAGGAAGACACTAACATTTTCCAGCCCCCTTCTTTGTGTGTCATTCATTGCCTTGTGTGTATTGTTATATAATTTAATCCCCTTAACTCTGCAAGGAGTATGAAATGATTCCCATCTCCTAGGTACAGGAGCCGAGGCCTAGAGAGCTTAAATAACTTGTCTAAGCTCATATTCCCTCAAGAGGCCGGGTCAGGATTTGAACCCAGGGCTAAAAGAGCTGCTCTTTGGACTGTCTGTGCCAGGTTGTGGGGTCTCCCTCTGTAGGAATGGAAAGGTGTATACTGGCTGAATGTGCCCCATTAGCAGGGATGGGGTGGGGCTCTCCTGGCCCTTTAACTTCACCCAACTTGTAGTCGGGGAGAGAAACCCCTGCATCAGTGGTCCAGCCAGCAGCTGACAGGTGGGAAAGCCACAGGGTGGCAGGAGAGTAATGAGCACCGTTGGAGGAGCTGGGGCTCACCTCTGGGAACGTCACAGAACTCAGGTCCTGCGGGTCACTGCAAGGCCCCCCTGGTGGCCAGTGGTCCTACGTGAAGTGACCAGGAGGGTGATTTGAAGGCACAGCCCCAAAGAGACACAGATCCCCTAGTTGGAGCCTAAGAGCCGCTGTCCATTTATTTCTGCCAGAGAAATACAGATCCTTTGCAGCTACACCCGGTCCTGGGAAAAGAGCGGAGTTCTGAAGACTTCATTCTGCTCGCGGAAGCGCAGGCAAGGGGGATAATGCAAGTGATGTTAGAACAGCAGCACTGAGGCTGGGCACAGTGGCTCACTCTTTACATCAGATGATCCTCCCACCTCAACCTCCAGCACTTTGGGAGGCCGAGGCAGGCAGATCATCTGAGGTCAGGAGTTCGAGACCAGCCTGGCCAACATGGCAAAACCCCATCTCTACTAAAAATGCAAAAATTCACTGGGTGTGGTGGTGCATGCCTCTAATCCCAGCTACTCGGGAGGCTGAGGCACAAGAATCTCTTGAACCCAGGACGCAGAGGTTGCAGTGAACTGAGATCATGCCACTGCACTCTAGCCTGGGCGACAGAGCGAGACTCCATCTCACTGCCCACTCCTGGACACTGCTTGGGTCTGGGCTCTGCCCTGAACTTCACTGAATGCTTTAGGAAATAATAATCGTGGTCTGTGGGCAAAGGGCCAGGGAGGCGTGGCTCTGTGTCCCCTTCCCCACGAGGGTGTGAGACCTGCCTTCTATATCGGCCCAGAACCCTTCTCCCAGCGCATGAGCTTGGAGTGCCAGCCACATCCTGGCTGCTTTTCCTAATGCCATGGGATGACTGTCCTTGCACTGGGCCATCAACTCTCTGCAGGGCAACCCACAGGCCAGCCTGACCATGCATTTGACTTTTCAGAAAACCTGAACAGCCCAGGGGTGTCTTTTCTCCAGGGGCGCCACAGCTTACAAAGTAGAGAGAGAATATAACCAGGCAGAAAAGCAAGTGAAAACCTTTCCAACATTCGGAACAGCCTGTGGTGAGTCCAGAACAGCCTTATATGGGCCTTCTCTGCAGTCCAGGCCTGGAGATTCAGCCCGTCAGCAGGATCCCTAATCCCAGGCTGCAGTCATGCTGGGGAACTTCATTTTCTTGGTCCCAGGCCAGCAGCCCTTCCCAGGTCCCTGGTGTCCCTCCAGAACGATGGCTGCTGAATGAGGGCATCTGGGGGTCTTCAGCCAGAGGCCATAAATGCCCCCCCCATCCCTCAGCCAGCCCCCCTATCCATGATGAGGTGCCTGGTGATTTTCAGAACACGCAATGCTTGCCCTCAGTAAGCTTGCTTCGCCATCCTGGCTTGTGACCTGCAGCAGTTCTGTTTGTTGCTGTGGGCTTCATTTTCTCCCTCCTGAAACTGGCACAGCTTACACACCCACTGTCCTCTGGGGCAGAGAAGTAAATCATGTAGCAAATGGAATTCCACTGTGACACTTATTCCCGTGAACACGGAAGGGCGGGGAACCAAGACAGAACCAGTGAGGGCAGAGGTAGGGCTCCTTTGAACACCTGATGGAGTTATTTGAATATAATAAACTTTTATTGGAGTCCAGAGGCCCTACCGGATTCTGTTCTCCTTCACGCAAACAGGTGTGGGGAGTGCTGTTTGCAAGATGGAGCTGGGGTAGGGACGGGAGCCTGCTCTGCCCTCTCCCTGGCCTAAGCCAAGAGCCCTGATGAACAGTAAAAAACACTGTTCCCTTTCTTGTGTAAAGGACACCCTGGCATATGCTACTGCTGCGACACCAGCCTTTTTTTCTTTCTTTTTTCTTTTTCTTTTTTTTTTTTTTTTTTTTTTTTTGCTAGGCCTGTAATGTCAGCCTGAAAAAAGAATAAACAACCCTTAAGCAAATTGATACAGTAATCCTAGAGAAGGCTCTGTGATGGATAACTTTTTCCATGACTCAGACAGCAAGCTGACATTCACTTGTTTTATAAGGGGGAACACTTTGTCATTTATCATCACCAGCCTTGGCTAACGAGCTTTGGGGGTAAGCAATGAGTGGCCTTTCCAAAGGCCCTGAGCAGCCCTTTTCAAAAGCAGCCCAAGCCCTCGGTGGTTCTGTGACTTCCGTGGGGCCTGCTTTCAGATGAGCCACGCTAAAGCGTGCCAGCTGCCGCTCAGTCCCCAAGAACAGTCACCAGGGAATGGCTTCTCTTCCCCTCGACTAGAGAGGGCTAAAGCGAGGCACTGCAGATGTGTGGCCATCCACGCAAGATTTAAAGCCCACAAAACCCTTGATCTTAAAATCTTCCTCTGCTGAGCCCTATCATGAATATTTAATATTAACCAGGAGGCCCATTAGGAGAATGTTCCCTCTCTCTGCATGGGAAATGCTTTTCCCTTTAGTAGCTCACTTGCAGCTTATCCAACTCCCATAGCCTCTGCAGGTCACCAGGCTCATGATCTGCGATCTGGACTTAGAGAAAACATGTCTGCCTGTTCATTCCCCTCCGCTCTATTTCATGGGCCTGTAAATCCTTTCGATCTCTTAATACCTCCTGTTTATTCAGCCCCTGCTGTGGAGCTCAAAGGAATGACCTCATCCTTCCTTGTCTTGCCACCTTGAGATGGGGAGAAACTGGGGCCTTTCCACTGTCCCCATGGGAGAGAACTGAAGGAGGCCGCCCTCTTACCCAGTGCCCCATGCGTGGGGCTGCACAGCCTCCCCAAGCCGAGCCTGTGGCCCCACAGTGTTTGACTGCCTAGGAAGATGCGACCTGACTTGAGGACAAGCTACATTTGTCCCCTTGCCCAGTCTGGGCCAGGCATGCACAAGAACAATACCCATATTCATGCAACATGGGGTTTGCCAGTAACCCCACGTGACTTGACCTCACGACGGATGTGGGGGAGAAGGGAGAGGCACAAACGCTCTCTGTGTGCATTCTGCTCTGTGCTGCCCGTGAGCCTCAGCTGTGGGCAGACTGCATGGTTTGTTGCCTGCAAAGCCTCAGCCCTGCTCGGTGCAGATGTGGGACAGTGAAGTCAGTGTGTCACCTGCCGAGCTTCTCATCGAGTGTCCTGCTGTGTATTGTGGGGAAACATCACAGACACACACACACACACTCTCTCTCACACACACACACTCACACACAATCTCTCTCACACACATTCGCACACACACACAATCTCATACACTTTCACACACAGTCACACAGACACAATCTCACACACTTTCACACACACACAATCACACACACTCAATCACACACACTTTCACACACACACTCACACACACACTCACACACACACAATCTCTCACACATTCTCACACAATCATACATTCTCTCACATACACACAAACACACTTTCACACACACAATCACACATACACTTTCACACACACACTCGCACACAATCTCACACACAATCTCACACACACACTTTCACACACATACATTCTCACACAATCTCACATACAATCACACACGTTCACAATCACACACACACTTTCACACACACAATCACACACTTTCACACACAATCACACACACACTCACACACAATCTCACACACAATCACGCACTCACACACAATCACACAGTCTCACATACACTTTCACACACAATCACATGCACTCACACAATCACACACAGTCTCACATACACTTTCACACACAATCTCACACTTTCGTGCGTGCGCGCGCACACACAATCTCACACACACACTTTCACACACACACACAATATCTCACACACACACACACACACACACACACACACATACACATTTTCAGCCCCTACTTCAAGGAACTCTCCCTGGTCCCAACTAAAGGAGAATAGAAGTGAGGAGACAGCAGCAGGTTAAAATTCACTGTGGTGGTTACTAATGATGGTTACTCGTGCTCCGTGTAACTGAGAGTAACAGCAGCTGGCATTTGTTGTGTGTATGTGGATTATATCACAGCAGTCCTAGAAGTAGGCATTATTGCTACTCCTGTTTTACAGAAAGAAAACTGTTTCACAGAGAGGAGTCACAGAGCTAGCCTCCAAACTGAGGCATCTGGGCTTCAGAGCTGGTACTCTCGACACATGACAGCAGCCTCTCCCAAGGCTAGACAGAATATGCCTGCAAGAACAGGGAGGCATGGCGACGTCTCTGCTGGTTTTCCCCGGGGACCGGTGTAGGGTGCTGACTGAAGGAAAAGTCCCTGCAGGGCAGCTGTGGCTTCTCAGGAACATAATTGTGAGGTCGCCCCTCTGGGCCTTGGTGGGCTGTGGAGTGAATGGGCTGGCCTCCTGCTCCACTGAGCTCCTGTCCCAGGAATTTGCACTGTTCTGGGTTTGGGCAAAAGTCCTAGAAGTCACTGCCCCTCTCCCACCTCCTTCCCTTCGGCCGCTCAAATCAAGGGCTTAGTAATGGTGTCATTCACCCTCTCCTTAGCAAGGAGGAGCCTCTTCACCCTTAACCTGGAGTAACTGAGTTGCAGCTGTAAGATCTCGTTAGCATGCTACAGAGATCTTTTGAAATTGCCAGCCACATACCACTTTAATTTTACTGGTAAGGAAATTGAGGGCCCGAGAGGGAAAATGCCGTACTCAAGGTCACACAGCAGTTAGCAGCAGTGTTAGGACCCAAAGAAGGGTCTTCTGACACCCAGATCTGTGTCCTTTGCACTAGAGTCAGGTATTGAACCTTTGCCAAGAGGTGGCTTTGGGTATTCCTGACTGTGTGTGCCTAACTGCCACCCAGCAGCAGGGCAGGGAGGGCTCCCTTCTGGGAACAGGCAGAGTTGGTGCCCCCCAGGGTAGGGGGAGTGCCTAGGTGTGCACAGCCCCTTCCTACTGGAAATCTGCTCTGACAGCATCCTCTATAAGGCAGAGTCCCAGAAGGTAGCCGAGTGTGCCTGCTCTGTGCTGATTAGCTCGAGTGGGTCCATCTTGCTGGAAAGAGCTGACAGACTGGACCAGTTTGCGTTCCGAATGTGGGAGTTCCCATGGATGTTCTCTGTCCTGGGTTGAGGGCTGATGGGCGCCTTCCAGAAGGGGTGAGGGTTAGGTAGGAGGATAGGCCTGGTGAAGCCGAGTCACGGAAGAGAGTCTGGTGGGAAGGAGACCTAGGGGCAGAGGCAGAAGGGGAGGCTGTATTTTAAGGAAAGGGAACTTCTTCCCTGGGATGAGGGGACTAAGAAAGGGGAGGCGGGAGTTAGGCAGAGGAAACCAGGAATCGCCTGAGACGCCCCGGCCTCTGAGCTGGTGTCTCCACGCGTGTGTGCTTCCCGTGTCCTCCCGCAGGAGTCTATATTCTGATCGGAGCCGGCGCCCTCATGATGCTGGTGGGCTTCCTGGGCTGCTGCGGGGCTGTGCAGGAGTCCCAGTGCATGCTGGGACTGGTGAGTATCCCCGCCAGCCACCCTGACCCCCACCGCCCAAACCTCAGTAGACCCAGACCCAGACCCACAGAACAGATGGACGGGGATGGAGCCAAGAAGGTACCCAGAAGCCATGAGCTGTCCTCAGCCTCCCCAGTGTTCCTCGCTCCAGGCCCCCTGAGCCACTTGGCCAGGCAGCCACACTGTCCTCAGCCCGGGCCCCTCCCCAGTGTGGGGCATCACCCCTCTTCCTTTCTGGAGCCTACCTTATTGCTTCCCCTGGGCAGCTACAAGGACTTTGTTTCTCCTTTTCTCGAGGACCACGTTTGCTTTTTTCCCCTGAATCCACAGGTACCTTTGCCTTCTCTTTGTTTCAGAATCTGTTTCGGTCTTTTCCAGACTCCATGGAGTGGATTCATTCCCTTTATGTCCCCAAATCTCTGTGGCTTTTGTGAGCAGTGGCAGTTTCCTGCTCCCCGACTCTTAACCAACACCTCGTAAATGCTAGTTCTGGGCTTGGCTGTGCTCAGCTTTTTCCTCCCGCCCAAGCACCTGGCCTCACGGTGGCCTCTGCCCTCTCCTCGGTTAACTGCCTGTTCTGCGAACTTCCTCCCTGCCCCTTCAAGGCTGTTCATTTGCGCCACCAGATACCGGTTCCCCAGGGAGTTGTCCTTCTTCCTCGTCCCAAAATACCCTTCAATTTTCCTGGCTGGTGGGCTGGGACTGTGCCTCACCCCATCCCCTCATTGCCTTCCAGTTCTTCGGCTTCCTCTTGGTGATATTCGCCATTGAAATCGCCGCGGCCATCTGGGGATATTCCCACAAGGATGACGTAGGTTTTTTTTCCATGAGATCTCTTGGGTTTGGGAGTTGGGGGATGGGAGACAGTGCAGCAGGGGGCAGGTCCTGGCTGGGCACTTTGTTCAGCTTTCAGCTGTTGACCAGGCCCCTTATCTCATCACGTGCCAGTGAATGTGCCCCCCTCGGGCAGGGACTGTCAGCATGCTTACTGCCCTGTGCAGGATTGTGCCAGCTGTGGTGCTGGCTCATAGATGTTCAGGAATGACTCGCTGGGCTTGCGTGTGTGTCTTTCCGTCCGTCTCACACCTCAGCAGCCCTTCCCCACGACTCTTAGAAAGATTACTCAGGAAATACAGGCTTTCTGTGGGCTGGAAACTCTCGCCTCCTCCTCTCATTTACAAATACGTGTTCAAGTGCTGCCCCCATGAGCCACGTGCTGTCCCCAAGCCTGTGCAGGGTCCACAGATGTTTGAACTATGGGCCCCACTTCCAGAGGCTTGGCCATCTAGTATAGGAAAAAGACATGCAACTGCCGAAGTGGTCATCAAGGTGATTTATAGCCAAAGTATTATGGGCTTTGAAAAGGTGACGGAATCTCTTCTGGCTTCTTAGAGAAGGGAGTAGTGAACTAAACCTTGAATGAGAGATGCGTTCAGGAGGAAAGTTAGTGGAGGCAGGAGACTTGGAGCCAAAGGGGCTGAGCATGGCTGAACCCGGGCTTCCAGGCGGAGCCCTGCAGAGTTCTGGACCAGCATGGGCCATATCAGAGTAGTGCTTTCAGAAGGGCTACCTTGTCAACGTTTAGCAAGAAGCGGGAAGGAAGAGAGATGCTGGAGGCAGGAACGCTATTATTTTGTTTGGTTCTTAAGACTAGCCTAGCGCAGCAGTGAGAAGCAGGGGAAGAGTGGAACAAGGACTTCCATCTGGAACTGACTGGACAATCCATTGAGATATTCCACTACCTGCAGAGCAGCCGAGCAAACTCTGTTTAAAAAAACATGTATTCAAGCGATGAAAGCAACAGCCATAGAAATAGGAAGGGATCATTGTGAAAACGTCAGAAAGCTGCTGAAGGAAAAATACTGGCTGTTGGTCTGTTCATTGGATGTGGGTGTGCATCAGAGGTGCAGACATACATTAAGTTGGGATGCACCAGGTGCAGGCACATAATAATATATCCCCTATATTATAATACAGTAGCTGACGCATCCTCCAGATTTACTCTTTACTGGATCTAATGGTAAAGACTTAATATGCAATATCTCATTTAAATTCTCATAATAATCTATGAGCCGTAGGGACAAATGTGGAAACTGCTGTACAGAGAGAGGTTTAGTAATTTCCAAAGTCATGCAAGTGGAGAGAAAAAGAAGGAAGCCTGAGAAAATAGTCAAGTCAGGAGTAGTTTTTAAATTATTATTATCCTTTAGATTGTAGAAATTCTCGAACTCCCGACCTCAGGTGATCCGCCTGCCTCAGACTCCCAAAGTGCTGGTATTACAGGCGTGAGCCACGGTACCCGGCTAGGATCACAGAGATTCATTTTAGGAGCCAATAGAGCTGAAGGACTGACCCAAGTGTAAGAGACAGGGAGAAGCGGCCAGAGCGAGTTTCTGCAGGATGTGGGAAGAGATGGGAAGTGCCCGAAGGCCTTGCTAGCCATCTGTCCAGTGACGTTGTCCAACCACAGGCGTCTGGTGGCTGAGAGCTTAAAGGGAGAGAACAAGGTGGAACGGGTAACATTTGTTCATGGAGAAAGATGTTAAAATGCCGTCTCTGCCCCTCTCTGGTCTGCCCATTGTAGGTGATTAAGGAAATCCAGGAGTTTTACAAGGACACCTACAACAAGCTGAAGACCAAGGATGAGCCCCAGCGGGAAACTCTGAAAGCCATCCACTACGCGGTATGTCACCCTGGCAAACACACCCACCTGCGCTCTCTCCGGAATATGCCCGCACACAGGGTACTGACTGCACCAGACCAGTGCAAACACTCTAATCTTTTAAAATGTGTTCCTCTCATCCCCATCCCTGCCTTCTTGCTGCAGTTGAACTGCTGTGGTGTGGCTGGAGGCGTGGAGCAGTTTATCTTGGACATCTGCCCCAAGAAAGAAGTACTCGAAACCATCACCACGAAGGTAAACTCAGAGCAATATCCTGGTGCCCCTGCCCATTGCTCTGGGCAAACCCTGCAAGCATAAAGGTGACAGCAGCCAGTTGCTGCTTCGGAAAGACCCAGTCTGTCTGTGAAAAGGTCCCAGAACACCCATCTCTTTCTCCTCTACTTTGGGCCCTCTGTTTACTGAAGGGCAATAAAACAGAGGCCGGACCAGGGGGACGACCAGTGCTCTGGCACCAGCCCCTGCTGCCAGCCCCGAAGCTGTCGCAGGCAGGCTTGCTTCTGAGTCTTGGACTCCCTCTCTGACTTTGTCAGTAGCTCCTGCCTGCAAGCTGGAGTTAATGTCCAACTCCAGAATGATAAAAATGGCCTTACAATCAGATCAGAAATAGATCCCCAAGCAGAGCCTGTCCCACCTCCTTCCCTGATGTCCTGCCCAGATTTTAGGGATCCACCAGCAGAACCATCCCTTTGTTCCTCTTTCCGTCCACCAGCCAGAACATCTCTTATCCCTGAACACTCCTGTCCCCAGCCCACCCTCTGTCCGCCAGTTCTCCTGTGTGAGACGGGTGCCGTGGGAGGAAGGAGGTGCCTGGGGAGCAGGGATCGTGTGTGACCCAGGCCTTGGTTTTTCTCCCAAGTCCTGTCCTGATGCCATCAGAGAGGTCTTCGACAGTAAATTCCACATCATCGGTGCAGTGGGCATCGGCATTGCCGTGGTCATGGTGAGTGGCGGGACGTCGTCCCAGGAGGGGGGCTGAAGAGTTAACATTGATTCAGCCCATGCTCTGCTCAGACACCGTCACGGTCTATGCATTTGTCAACTAACTTTGTCCTCATGCTCTTAGTATTTCCATTTTCCCACTAGGGAATGGAGAGACAGGCCGATGTGCTGATGAAAGCCCCTCACCTCCTGAGTGGAGTATCCAGGGTTCCTCCTGGGTTTCTCCAGAGTCGACTCTCTCAGCCATTAAGGTTCAGGGCACATGGGTGGCAGTGCTGGCGCTGCTAGTCCTCAGAGCATGTCTCCTCACGCACATGCTGTTCTTCTCCCTAAGAAAGTACTTCACTAGAGGCTACCGGCATGGGATTTGTTCCATTTCTTGAGGAGCATCTGAAAATGGGCAGCCAGAAGGCGGTCTCTTGCTAATCAGCCACTAGAAACCATCAAGGGCCAACCAGGTTCCTTGGGGTCATGCCCTCTCTCCCCATGAGGGAGAGCCCCAGATGGAACACGGCCCTCACTGGGACGGCCTGGCTCACGGAGTCTTCCTCCACCCCTGTCCACCTCTGCCCCCTTGCCAGACAGCCCCCAAAAAGAGAACCGCCTCTTTTCTTGGTGGTTATTTGCACCCTTCACTGGCATCTAAGAAAGGCATGAAGCACCTTTCAGTAAAAGATAAAATAATACCTTCTTGTTTTTCTTTGAGATGGAGTTTTGCTCTTGTTGCCCAGGCTGGAGTGCAATGGAGCAATCTTGACTCACTGCAACCTCTGCCTCCTGGGTTCAAGCGATTCTCCAGCCTCAGCCTTCCAAGTAGCTGACACTACAAGGGCATGCCACCACGCCCAGCTGATATTTGCATTTTCAGTAGAGACAGAGTTTCACCATGTTGGCCAGGCTGGAGAATCATTTGAACACAGGAGGCAGAGGTTGCAGTGAGCCAAGATCGCGCCATTGCACTCCAGCCTGGGTGACAGAGCAAGACTCTGTCTAAAAATAAATAAATAAATAAAAATAGAATAGAATATTGAATACACACACCCAAAGACAGATACAAAAGTTCTATCCTGTGTGGACTATAGGAAAGCCTGGAATTTGAGCATTAAATTTGGCTCTGAGCTTACTTGTTCCCCGCCCCCCGAAAGTTCTCCAAGGAAGATGCTTGTGCAGCTAACTGCCGGCGCCCCAGATCCTTCACATCCCGCATCCTTCTCGTTACCTGGCCTGCTTCTCTCCCACTTCAGTACCCTCTAAGTCATTTGGCCTCCTGGATGCCATTCTCCTTGTCATTTGTCTTGGACTGGGTGACCCATGTCTCTCCCTTTCCCTCAGCCTTCCTTCAGATAAAACCACTCTGATCCTCATGCTTCTTCCTCTCTCCTAGATATTTGGCATGATCTTCAGTATGATCTTATGCTGTGCTATCCGCAGGAACCGCGAGATGGTCTAGAGTCAGCTTACACCCCTGAGCAGGGAAGTTTACCCATGAAGATTGTTGGGATTTTTGTTTCTCATTTTTTTGTTTTTGCCACTAACTTTACTATTCATTCTGCATTTCTAGACAAAAGCTAAAGTTATTTCATGTTTGTCTCTTAATGCTTCATTCATTATTGACATTTGTAGTTGAAGCGGGGGTTGGTTTGCTTTGGTTTATATTTTTTCAGTTGTTTCTTTTTGCTTGTTATGTTAAGCAGAAATCCTGCAATGAAAGGTACTATATTTGCTAGACTCTAGACAAGATATTGTACATAAAAGAATTTTTTTGTCTTTAAATAGATAAAAATGTCGATCAACTTTAATCAGGTTGTAACTTATATTGAAGACAATTTGATACATAATAAAAAATTACGACAATGTCCTGGACTGGTTTTTGTTTCCTTTAGTTATTTTGAGAGCTATTTGGTTTGCAAATATCTTTCAACTGCTATTAATTCCACCTGCATTTATATGAGAAGTAGACTGGGAGGTTGCTCACCCCATTTACTAACGAAGAAATCTAGACGTGGAGAGATTAAGGGATTCCAATCCAAAGTCACACAGATGTTAACAGAAGAGTCAGCATCAGCACCTGGTCCGTAGATGCTCCTTCAGCAATGTGGCGTGTCTTGGGGATGTGACAGCACAGGTCACACCATGGTGGCAGGAACTTTGTTTTATTCACTACCTAGTACCTAGTGTCTGGTGCATAGCAGTCCTCGGTATTTTTTATCCGTTACTATTTGTTGGTTGAATGAATAAATGGGTGTGTCTGCACCAGGGGCTCATCAGAGAAGCGGAGCCACTACAAGATATTTGTTTGAAGAGATTTGTTGTGGGAATTTGACCTTACACAGTCACTGGCACCGGGGCTACTTACGTAGTCTCTGCAGACAATTGGGAAGGATGGATGGGTGGAAAGTAAGGGTGGACAAGTGCGAGTGGGAGCCCTTGAAGGCAGACACATCTGTCCATGTCAGGTTTTTTTTGGTTTTTTTTTTGTTTTTTTTCTGAGACAGGGTCTCACTCTGCTGCCCAGGCTGGAGTGCAGCCTTGACCTTCCTGGTCTCAAGCAAATCCTCCCACCTCAGCCTCCCAAGTAGCTGGGACTACAGGCATGTGCCACCACACCTGGCTAATGTTTATATTTTTTGTAGAGAAGCGTTTTGCCATGTTGGCCAGGCTGGTCTTGAACTCATGGTCTCAAGCGATCCACCCACCTTGGCCTCCCAAAGTGCTGGGATTACAGGCGGGAGCCACCACGCCTGGCCCCATGTCAGTTCCTGCCTCTGCTGAGGTGAGCCAGCAGAGAAGCCACAATTCATGGGAGCTGTGAAAATGACTGCTGCTTCACTTCCCACCTCCAAACCTTCCACCAGTTTCTCCTCTGTGCTCCACTCTAACCAGAAACACATGGGAAGAGAATTCTGGGAAGTGTGGTTCAGCTTACCCAGGTGGACAGATCACAAAACCAGGGCTGCATGGGAAGTGTGGCCCGTGCTCAGACTGTCTTCACTGTTGTGGGCAATTGGGAGGCAAACAGGCAATTATGGCAGAGAGGGATGAGCAGGAGAGAGAAGTGCAGAGGCATAGGAAACCGATTTTTATTTTCCACTCCTTGATTCCATTTGGGTTTCTCCTTAACACTACAAAAAGAAAAACAGGAAAAAATGGTCAAAATGTCCCTGAATGCCATTACGTTCAAACATTAGAACACCAAAGCTGATCGCAGCATTATTCATAATACCCAAAATGTGGAAACTCAAATGTCCATCAACAGAGAAATGAACAATGTGTGGCGTATCCATATGATGGAGCAGAATTCCACCTTAAATGCCGCAATGTGGATGAACCTTGAGCATGCTATGTTCAGTGAAATAAGCTAGACACAAATGAACAAATATTCCACAATTCCCATGATAGGAGGTACCTAGAATTGGTAAATTTATAAAGAAAGCAGATTAAAAGTAACCAGAGGCTAGGGAGAGGGGAAAATGGGGAGTTATGGTATCATGAGTAGAGTTTCTGTTTGGGATAATGAAGAAGCTCTGGAAATAGATGGTGGTGATTGTTGCAAAGCTTTGTGACTATATTTAGTGCCACTACATTGTACACTTAAAAATTGTTAAAATGGGCTGAGCATGACAGCTCACACCTGTAATCCCAGCACTTTGAGAGGCCGAGGCGGGTGGATCACAAGGTCAGGAGATCGAGACCATCCTGGTCAACATGGTGAAACCCCGTCTCTACTAAAAATACAAAACATTAGCTGGGCGTGGTGGCGTGTGCCTGTAATCCCAGCTACTCAGGAGGCTGAGGCAGGAGAATTGCCTGAACCCAGGAGGCGGAGGTTGCGGTGAGCCGAGATCCCGCCATTGCGCTCCAGCCTGGGTAACAAGAGCGAAACTCCGTCTCAAAAAAAAATTGTTAAAATGGGCTGAGCATGACAGCTCACACCTGTAATCCCAGCACTTTGGGAGGCTGAGGTGGGATGATCACTTGAGCCCAGTTCAAGGCCAACCTGGGCAACATGGTGAGACCCCATCTCTACCAAAAAAAAAAAAAAAAAAAAAACAAAAAAAAACTGGCTGGGCGTGGTGGTGCACACCTGTGGTCCCAGCTACTTGGGATGCTGGGTTGGGAGGATCACCTGAGCCTGGGAGGTGAAGGCTACAGTGAGCCATGATCTCACCACTGCACTCCAGCCCAGGCAACAGCGAGGTGCTGTCCCAAAAGAACAAAAAATAGGATCAGAGTGGCAAATTGTATATTATATTTTACTACACACAAAAAATAGCTGGGTTGGCATTGAGTGTCCTTGTCGCTCTGTGGCCTTAGGTCCCTTGTTAATCTGAGGGCTGACTACTGTTCCGATTGTGGAGATAACAGGTCATCCATTTCGTTAATGTTTTTGGGAGACATAGTCTCGCTCTGTCACCCAGGCTGGAGTGCAGTGGCGTGGTCTTGGCTCACTGCAACCTCCGCCTCCCACGTTCAAGCCATTCTCGTGCCTCAGCCTCCCAAGTAGCTGGGATTACAGGCACCCACCACCACGCCCAGCTAATTTTTGTGGTTTTAGTGGAGACAGGTTTTCAGCATGTTGGCCAAGCTGGTCTCAAACTCCTGACCTCAGGTGATCCACTCGCCTGGGCCCAAAGTGCTGGGATTACAGCCAACCGTTCATTTTATGTAGGAGTGGAGGAGATCCCTGAGGAGTTCTAACATCAGCCCTGCATGTGACTGCCAGCTCCCTCTGGAAAAAGCAGGTCTCAGAGGCTACACGCACTTGCCACGCTGCGGCTTTGCTGAAGGGTAGATTCGTGTGAAGCAAACGGCGGCCACTTAAATCCCAGAACACCTCAGGGCTGTCTATATCTTCCCTGTTTGTTGTTAATAATGTAAGGACTATGGGCTAGCATAAGCAAAAGTGAGCAATTAACCCAAGAATGAAAATGGTTGCACCTTAGGAAGATTCCGGAAACATGGACTAGTAACTCCTACGGCTCTCCATTTCTGTGCCACTATATTTTGCTCTCTAAGGAGACCAACTTTGCTACTCAGTCCTCATGGGGCTGGGAAAGGGCTGCCCCTGAGCTCCCAAGCTTACACAGAGACAACCTCCGTTGGCCCCTCTTAAAGTTTTAGTAGAGAAACATTTGACCTAGTTTGAGTCCAATGTCTGACCCTGTCCCTTCAGCTGGCAGCGGGCAGGTTGGGATGAGTGGAGTTAAAGACCTGGCCACCCTCTGTGACCCAGCGCCAGAAGATGAGGGATCATTGAAAGCCGGCAGACATCCCAAAAGGAGCTGGCTGTCCACACTCCCTCGGTCAGGCCGAAACGAGGCTCCCCGGACTCTTGGTGGACAGGGCCAGGTGTGGCTCTGCAGTTGAGGGAAAACCAGAACGCCCTGCTGCTCTCAGGTCCTGAAAGGGCCTCGGAACAAAGGCCTTTAGGAAGTTTTGGGTCACAAAAAGGCAACAGGCGCTGCCAAAAGCAACAACTGCTTTGGGTCCAGAAGAATCTCCTTGAGCATAAGAAGAGAAGCAGTTGCATAGATGTGTTGGCCTCTTGGCTCAACTGTGAAAAGCAGCCTGGGGCAACAAGTTTGAATCAAAGCAGCTGGATTTAGTAAAAGGCTATTGCTTTACCCAGTGCCCTTCAGGCACTGAAAGTGCTTTAATAACCATAAACTCCCTGGACCCTCCTCCCAAGGCCCTACTCTCCAAACCCATGTCCTCCGGATGGAGTTGAGTGGCCAAGGACGGGACCAAGACTCCACATGGATCCAGGGGCTCATTCCATGACACTGTCATTTCCTAGGGCCCTCCATGGGTACGGGGAATTGTTTCACTGACAGGTAGACCAGGATATCTCATAAGCTTCTTGGGCACAAGATGGAGTGGTATGGGTGGAATTCCGGCACAATTAGGCACATCCGTGGTTAGGTGAACACCACCATACAAGGGGGAGAGGTCTCCACCGGTGGCCTGTGCAACCCTGCCATGTTTCTTGCTGGTCAATGTGTTAAATGACAACTTGGAATACTACGAAATACGGCTGGGTGTGGTGGCTCATGCCTGTAATCCCAGCACTTTGGGAGGCTCACTTGAGGTCAGGAGCTTAAGACCAACCTGGCCAACATAGTGAAACCCCCGTCTCTACTAACAATACAAAAAATTAGCCAGGCACGGTGGCGCACACTTGTAATTCCAGCTACTTGGCAGGCTGAGGCAGGAGAATTGCTTGAACCTGGGAGATGGAGGTTGCAGTGAGCCAAGATCATGCCACTGTACTCCAGCCTGGGCAACAGAGTGAGACTCTGTCTCAAAAAAATAAAAAATAAAAAAAGCCTGATGTGGTGGCTTACGTCTGCAATCCCAGCACTTTGGGAGGCCAAGGCGGGCAGATGATCTGAGGTCAGAAGTTCGAGGCCACCCTGGCCAACATGGTGAAGCCCTGTCTTTACTAAAAATACAAAAATTAGCTGGGTGTGGTGGTCGGCACTTGCAATCCCAGCTACTCAAGAGGCTGAGGCAAGAGAATCGCTTGAACCCAGGAAGCCGAAGTTGCAGTGAGCTGAGATCATACCACTGTACTCCAGCCTGGGTGACAGGGCTAGACTCAGACTCAAAAAAATAAAAAATAAAAAATAGAGAGAGAGAGAGAGAGAGAGAGAAAGAGAGAGAGTGATAAAACTAAAAACTGTATTATTATATTATTATATCATTATATATGTATTTCACAAGGCTCTGAGAAATACCCAGTAATTTGAGTAACAGGAGTCTAGTTCAAAGAGATCTTAGAGACTAGAATAATGGAATATGACATCCAAAGGATATATCTCAACAGGAATAAATAAGTAAATGAAATCGAGAATTCATA